TAGTATATCCAGTCTACAGAAGCCAACACACATTAAAGAAAAAAAGCGTACAGGAAAATAGGACACATATGCCTAACAAATTCAAACCGGTTAGAGCTGTGATCCGAGGTCACACATGGACTGTATAGCGGCTGCTAGAAACGCCTTCACATGTTTTCAGTTCTATCCCGTTGAGCTGCGCCTGCTGGCTTTGCGGTGGTGATAAGCGATGCCGAGTTTTTATTTTTTATGCTTATTATTTAGTGTCATAATGGCATGCGCATCGACCGACACCTCTCAGAAATATGACTAAGATCTAAAGGTCCACAAATACTGATGTGCGCCTCAGCCACTACTGTACAATTTTAGTGCTTTACAAAAATGAGGAATGGGAAAACCACGAAAAATAGAGGTAGCCGATCACTGTTTAAAATACTAGAATGCCGATGCAAAATATTTACCTTGGTTGGTAACGTAAACGTTGACTCTCATTATCTTGTGTTTATGATATTCCACTGGTACAAATCGAATGTATCTTGCCAGTTGAGGGTTTGTAAGATCATGACGTACTACACTGTTAGAGTCGGTGTTTCCTTTGAAGAACTGAAAAGTAAAACCATCAATAAAAAGATTGTGAAATTGGGATGAATAGAAAATAGGAAACAGTTTTGCTTTGTTTTTAAAGCAGTAAATTTATAAATGGCCAGCACCTCGGCCAAGAATCCTTTGTTAAGAACAATATTTTGGCGAAGATCGAAAGCAACTATTATTTTATCATATTCAATTTTAAAACCCATGTCAAACATTTACAAATTTCTTTAGTTTTCTTCATTGTATCTGAAATTACCTTTAAATTTCCACATTCATCTTTATAAGTATACCATTGCGTCATGTTATTTGTTACTAAATACAGTTTGTATTTTGCCACCCATTCATTAGCGATACCATTCCCTTGTGTTGCTACAGCATTAATAACGCGTGGAGTACCGAGATCAATCTGTAGGTAATCATCAGCGTTATTATTATCACTTGATGCCCATCCATATCTACCATTCAGCTTGGCATTATGAGGTTTGTATCGAACATCATCTGTGAAGTCTGGTCTTTTATAATATGATGAGGCTGTATAACTGCGGTCTGATAGTTTCAGATTTCTCTCCTTTCCAACAAGAGATTGCTCTGGACACCCTATTGCAACCAATAAACATAAAGCATTCATAAGAAAACAACGTAGCGTACTGATCGTAGCCTAGTTGATGATGAGGCTGTGTAACCTCTGTCAGGTATACATGTAGTTTAAAATAGCTATATGTTTATTTCCGAACAGCGTTTGGCTAATTCATTATAAAAGTTGTTTTTCATATTTTTACTTTCATTCTTTTTACTCACGATGGGCGTAGCCAGAATTTTGCCTTTGAGGGAGGGGGTAAAAGGGTAGGGGGGTATAGACTTTAATCAGTATCAATATGCATGAATATAGACTGGAGATGAATGAGTAGGTATAGACTTTAATCAGCATCAATATGTATGAATATAGACTGGAGATGAATGAGTAGGTGCTGCCCGTTACAAATAGACAGTGGCTAGGTTTGGTTGATATTCAACATAAGAAGATCTTAAAAATAGAAGATCCTTTCATAAACTATGCATTTTCTATAAAATGGTCTACCACATAACTCCGGCATAGCTTTTCAATCTTTTGCCATTAAAAATAGGTCAAAGGTCAAAACTTATTCTTTGAGATCTAGTGAGGATTTTTCATTAATCCCCACTCGTACCAATAGATTTAAAAGATCCTTTCTACCATCGGTTATCCCACAATGGAATAAATTAGGCAACGCTATTCGAACCGCTTGTCCTAGTAATGATTTTAAATCTAAACTTCGTGGCAATTTTTGTACTAAATACAATTGATTATATGATACCACTCTCAATAGACAAACTGATCTATATTACACACCAGACTTAGACTTCGTCATTATGCTTTAAATTTTTACTTATTTAAAATTTCTTGCAATTTAACACCGCTTTGCGACTGTAATGATGAATCTGTTGAATCCATCTCTCACTATTTCTTACACTGTCCCCAATATGCCGTCCAGCGTCAAAATCTGCTTTCGCTTTCCTCACAGCTTTTCCAACAATATACTTCAGAGTGTGATAAAGTAAACTTTTTTCTATGTGGTTCTCCACATTTAACTTTTAAGCAAAATCAAAAACTGTTCTTGAGTGTCCAACAATATTTGGCAGACACCAAAAGATTTAGATAGAGTAAAGAAAGCTTTATTTGATTTTGCAGATATATTTTCTTTTCCGTTGTACTTTTTCTATATATATATATATGCTTTTTTTCCCCTTTCTAATTATTACATGCAATTTCCCACGGTGTAATCTCAATTGCAACTTTTCTATATATATTTGTTTTTTTGTTAATATGTTAAACTATATTTTTTCCTTTTTCCTTAAACTCCAGAAACCTTATAATTACTGTTAACTGTGTAATCTCCCACGATGAGCCTAGCTCTTGGAGAGAACACAGAGATTTAATATGTTTAAATTTAAAAATATATATATTCAACCTGACGATTCCAAAATTGTTGAAAGTCAATATTTTCTTACTTTTTCTTTCCACGATTGAATAATAGCTGTAGAGCAAACATAAGTGATTTATTTCTGCTGTATCTTACCATACTCAATGTCTTTCCCAGCTGCATAAGGTCCTTCCTTGACTGTGGTTGAACTTATCTTGTATGATAGTATTCCATTCTTTGTAACATCGATACTGTAGGTGAGATCAGCTGATCCATTGATTATGACTGTTTTCTTGTTGGATGTAGCCTGGTTGTAGTAGTATACAATGGTGTACTTCCTGATGATGCCATTAGGT